TCCCCCCACCGGGGAACAATTGGAAGCTCTCGGCATTGTCCAGGAACGATGAAGAATAGGAACAGGTTTGGGGAGGGAAGGGGGGGGGGGCATCCCAGGCATCCACGGGGCTGGGATTCCAGGGCAGACGGACGCACGGACGCCAGGCCGCAGCCCCTGCCCCCCCACAGCCTGTGGACGCCCTTCACTCCTGAGGTGTAGCCCCTGTACCCCCCACCAGCCCCCTCACTCCCGACCCACAGCTCCCTGCCCCGCCCTGCAATACCCCTCACTCTCGACCTGCAGCCCCCAGCCCCACAGGCTGTGTCAGCCTGGGAAACATTATGGGATGGAAAATTAAATTGCCATAGAAACACGCGAGCACAAGGACCTGGTCCCTCCAGTGAATGGGACCCCGGACACTTGGGTTCTCTCTCCGCTCTGGGTGGGGGCAGCGAGGCCAGAACAAAGGGGTCCTGGGAGCCTGGGTTCATTCCCCAGCTCTGGAGCAGGGGTGGGATCTTGGGAGGGTCAGAGCTAGGGGAGTGGGGGGCTGGCAGCCAGGACGCCTGGGTTCTCACCCAGCTCTGAAGGGCAGTGGGGACTTAAGAGGGGGTGGGGGGACATTGGGAGCCTGGATGCCTGGGTCCTTTGTGTCTGCTCAGCTCCCTTCCCCCAGGGCCAGGCCAGACTGACAAAGGACAGGTGGGGGGACGGGCTTGGTTGGTCCTTGAACAGGTGTCAGGCCCAAATCCCAAGTGTATGGGTGGGGGGGATGGGGCACTGTGCCATTCTTCTTAACCCCTTGTGTGCCAGAGGTCCACCCAGCCTCCCCACTGCCCATTTGGCAGAGGGAACCCAGGTGACCGGGCCCCCAGAAGACCCCACACCCAAGAACCCAGGTGTCCAGGCTCCCCCTCCCTTGGAGAACCCAGGTTTAGGGCTCCCAGACCTGTCTCTCTCCCTCTCCCCCCTATTCTTTTTTCCCCTCCCCCCACAAGGGTAATTTTAGCTGCCACCCCCCCACACACCCCTCCCAGCATTCCCTGCCCCCCTGACACTCAATCCCCCCTTCCCCATGACGTGAACAAAGGGGCCCAGGACAATAGCAAGGACCTTGAGAAGGACCCGGCCTTATATAGCCCTGCCCGAAAGGCCGGCCAGTATTAATAGCCACTAGCCAAGAATAGAACCCAGGCATCCAGGGAGGGGGAGTCTTCCCCCCCCTACAGCTCACCGGACCCTATTGTCATCCCCAAGGCAGGAGAGAACCCAGGCATCTGGGGCGTGGGGGCGGGGGCAGCCCCTTCCAGCCCAAAGTCCCATTGGTCTTCCAGAGCCCGGAGGGAATCCAGACCTCCAGGGGGGACCTCGGATCCAACCCACCAACCCCCCTTACCCCTCTAAAGCCCACTGGACCCCACTGGTGTCCCAGAGCACAGAGAGAGCCCAGGGGCCTGGGGGACTCCCACCCCTGAGACTCCCACTCCCCTCCCAGAGCTGGACAGAACCCAGGCACCCGGGCTCCTAGCCCCTTGTTCTACTCCTACTCCCCCCAGCCCAGCCCAGGGCTTGGGGCTGCGGGGAGATAGGGCCCGGATGCCTGGGTTCCCTCTTGACTGGGTGGGGGAGAGTGGTTGGACACCTGGTTTCTCTCTCATGTTTGGGAGGGGAGTGGGGTCGGGTCCCCGGACACCTGGGGTCTATCCAGCTCTGGGGTCCGGTGGGTTAGAGTAGGAAGTGCTGAGAGCCCGCACTCTTGGGTTCTTCTCTGGAAGGGGAGTGGGGGCTGGCATGTTAGAACAGGGGCACGGGGAGCCCGGACACCCCAGCTCCAGGAGGCTTTGTGGGGCCGGGCAGGTTGGGTGAGGGGGAGCTGAGAGCCTGGTTTCCATTTCATTGAGAGCCTGGATTCTCACTCAGGCCTAGGAGGGCAGCAGGGCTCGGGTGCCTGGAGACCTGGGTCCTGTTAAACTGGGGCTTCCCTTGGCGCCTGGAGCCCTGGGTCCTGTTAAACTGGGGCTTCCCTTGGCAGGATCCCAGGAAATTCCCCCGCCCTCCCCCCGCGCAGCTGGGCGGGGTCCAGGCACCTGCCATTGCTCCCCAGACAATACCCCCCAACCCGTGGTCCCAGTAGGCTGGGTCTCGTGCCGGTATTCGCATACCAGGGGGGCATTAAAGCCCAGCGTCTGGGCTCCCAGCCCTGTCCCCCCACCCAGCAGGCAGAGTACCCAGGTGTCCTTGGTGCCTGGCCTGGCTGGGACAATAGCCCGGTGCATTCCTTGGGGTGGGGCATTTCCTATTGTCTTGGCCCCAGCTATTGTCATCTGGGCCAGGGACACAGCAGGGGATGGACCCAGCAGTCCAGGCTCCCCCGCCCCGCTACCCTCCCTAGCCAGAGAGAACCCAGATGCCCGGGACCCTGACCTGCACCCCGGACACCTGGGTTCTCTCCCAGCTCGGGGAGGCTTTGTGGGCCTAGCAGGTTCGGGGAGGCGGGGCTGAGAGCCTTCTTCTTGCTCTGAGGGCAACAGAGGTTGAGAGGTGCAATGCTTGGGTTCACTTTCCGCTCGGGCCTGGGCACCCAGACACCTGGGTCCTACGTAACTGGGCTGCCCTTGGCGGGGTCCCAGGGAAGGCCCCCCCCCAGCTGG